CTTACTACAGAACTGTTTAAAATCCGTATCTTCCACGTACTGTAAAAGTACTATCTAAAATCTGGACCATACGTGTTGTGCCTAAAGGTTACAAATGGATCAGGACACGATACGTGGCTTCTGTTCTAGATTGTACCATGAAAGCTAGCCTGTCTGCTCGGTAGTGATTGGTGTAATGGCATACTCTTACCGTACGTTAGTGCAATCGGTATCCCTTTTTCGGTCAACTGGAGAATGTCTCTGTAGGCTAACGTAGTAGTTAGCATTTTTTCTTGGATTAGAAACCTTTATTAGGAATGTTTTAGTTATTTAATTCCATCAATATGGTCTACATTTAGGTCTGATGGTGTTTCAGTTCAATATCTGAGCCTCTTAGCAACTTCTCGTACTTCTAAGCTGATATTCTACATGAAAAAGTCATTCTTGTTCCCCAAATTTTATTGGATTTGTCTAAAAACACTTCATGCTGTTACACAGGGTTTTTTTCAACACAGCACTTAGCATGCTTGATTACTTTTGCAATTTTTAGCATCAATTTTGTTCAAGAATAATCCTGCAATTTGCTTGTGGTTCCACCTAGGCAGATATGTAAGAGGTACAGATAATTTCACAAAGTGGGGTTGAGAGGGAAAAAGTGTAACTCTCACCAAATGTTTGTAACTACAGGCAACAAATGTTTCAGTAACGTTCTGTTCTGTGTTTTCTGTCTGCAGCTCAGTGTGGCTTTCCCAATAATATTCTGTATATGCACGGTATTTCTGGTGGTAGTGCCACTCTACAGTGACACCATAAATTCCTTGATTGGAATTGCCATTGCCTTATCTGGAATTCCAGTCTTTTTCTTGGGAGTCTATTTACCTGCATCAAGGAGACCTCAGTTTCTCAACAAGATTTTAGGTAAGTTTCTTTGTAGATGGAGACGACGTTGGGAAAGAGGAGAATTAAATAAGCGAATCTCTGTTGATGGAAAGGGTTGTGGTCAGTTGACCCCAGCCTGCAGCTAAGTACCCACAGAGCCGCTGGCACACCAGTCCCCACCCTCCCCCTCCCAGCAGGAAGAGGGAGAACAGGAAGAACATAGGTGAGAAGACTTGGTCAAGATAAAGGGGATTTAGTAAGTGAAGGAAAAAACCTGCCACTGCGAAGGCGATCACTTACCACCTCCCGCAACCAGACCAACGCGCAGCCAGTCTCCAAGCAACGGCTGCCTTGGAAGACACCCTCCCACATGCACACACTTCTACCCCTGTTTTTGTTGATAAGCGTGACATACGGCGTGAATTATCCTTTTGCCTGGTTTTGGTCAGCTCTCCTGGCCATCTCCCCTCCAAATGTCCTGCCCATCCCCATCCTGCTGGTTGCAGGGAGGGCAGAATGGGAGGAAAAAATCCCCCAAAAGCCTGGATACTGTGCGAACGCTGTTCAGCGACAGCCGAAACACCGGTGTCTTACCAGCCGTGCTTGAGCCACAGGAACAGAGCCTGTGGGCTGCTATGAAGAATGTTAACTGCATCCCAGCCAGACCCAGTAAAGGGGTGTATCTTATAGATGTGTTTATACCCAGGCTTTATTTACTGTGTATTTAAAAGACCATCCACTTCCTACAGATTTTGTCCATAGTTTTTAGGCATTTCTGTTTAATTAAGCACACTGAAAGTCTTTTTCTTAAGCAAGATCAATGACTGTAAAAGGGCTGGACATTCTTGCTAAATTACTCGTTTCTCTCCAGCAGCACATGGTTGTCATTGTTGCTGTGTGAGAAAACCATGCTGAGGGGTGTGGAAAGGGAGGGCTGATAGCATGATCTCAGAATGCCACAGGAATGGTGCTGCAGCAGCTAGTGAATGTGGCTTGGTAATTTGTCCCTTTCCTGCGGGCTATTTGAAGTTCTTGTTTAAGTCTTTTATTCTACCAATTTCACACTCTTAATTATAGAGAAAATAGGTCTTACTTCAGTTACTCAGTGGGGTGCCTAAGAAGGGTATCAACAGAAGAGTTTTAAACATTATTTAAAGAAGTTGAGTGGAAGACACTTTTTTCCTATTAACTTTTGTCATCTGCTTTAAGGGAAGTGAGGCAGCATTCTTGACAACTAACGTTGGTTAGTCAGATGCATGTTGTGAAGTCAGAGCTGAGGTAGGTGGCTACTGTTCTGATTTATCTTCAATTTCCCTCTGCAGGTGTAGTCACACGAAACATGCAGCTGCTCTGTTACTGTGTTTTAACAGAGATGGACACAAATGAAGAAAAGAAGTTGGAAATCAAATCCAACTAAAATTTCAAAGCCATTACAAGAAACAGAAGGAAGGATAAAGCAGTTACGACAACAAAAGGGAAGAGGTGGAACTGGGAAAAACAGGAAAAGTGTTTCCAGTGGTCTTTCAGAAACACTGAAAATGTACTCACTCTCAGTTGGATTCTCACAATAATCCTGCCCTCACGTCACCCTGTAAACTGTGGCATATTTTCAGGGCATATTTTCATTGGGTAATGATTATCTACTCCTTTCAGGCACACAAGCTGTGCGTCATTGTTGTTCCTTCTTCAGAATTGGTATTAAAATGGTAAGAGCTAATGGATCAAATTAGATTTCTGCAGAACCAGGCGCTGAAGTAATGCATTTTTAAGTTAGACTGAAAACCACTCTGACTCTAAAGACCAAAAGTCATTTCCAGCTTAATTCTGATGGATGTTTGCATGAAGTGATTTGCTGTGGTATCTCAGTTCTTATCCCAGAAGACAACCGGACACAACAAACTACCTAATTCGTCATTATTAGCAAAAATCAATAAAGTTGTGGTACATTATTTAAAGAATGAACCAACATTTCTCCCTTAAATTTTATTCCATGTGCTGCGTGGAATGTGGTATCTGACTGTGGCAAGGATTTAATCAACAAAGCACCTTGGCACTAAACATCTGATTAACATTTGGTGATTCCTTCCTGTTAGCTTGTTAGTAATCGGTCAGCTTCTGACAGGGCTTATCAGACTTTGAGAATGAAGTGTTCAGTTTGAAGATTTAAGCATTTGTTTCTGAACTGCTTCGGTGAACACGCATTAGCAGCGTTACCTCAGCAGTCAGAAAATTCACTTTCTGAATTTCAGTGGTGTGGAAATGCAGAAAATGACCATCTAGAAACTCACAGAACAAAACACTTTTTCTTCTGTAGCAGAAGTAAAGTTCTGTGGCAGCAATTATATCTTAGTAGCAGGAATAGAAAATAGAAACTAAAAACAGAAATAAAAAGTAGTATTGCAATACAGACTGATACTAAGAAGTAGTATTTGTAATTCCAAAGCCATAACCCTAACAGCAGGACACTTACTTGATACTGAATTTTGGTGCAGTGAAAGGTAGCACAAAGCCTATCCATTTTGGCCAGCACAGTGAGATAAGACTGCAAAAACATACCTCAAATTTTCATCTTAATTAAGAATGTTTACCTTAGTTTACCCAGATCTGCCCACACATGCAGTTTTTTGTGCATTTAATTTGAACAAAATCTTGTAATCAGAAGAACATGGCTGAAGCAATGCACACTGCAAATGCTGCAACACATCTGCATCAGCCACTGGAATAATAGTGAAGATATTTGTGTTCTTGTACTGACACCCTGACAAAGATTATCTTAAAAAGCTACAGATAGTCTTCACCATCAACTACTGTTTTCCACTAACAAAGTGGAGTCTTGGGCTACCTTTATGCAGCAGCACTGGGACATAAGCTGAGGAACTTTGTGTACAGTTGGCACGTAAACACGTAGTTTCAGTCTATAATTAAGTTAGCATTTAGCTGTTGGGAGTGCAGCTTTTCAATCTTGTATATGATTAGAATGAATTCAGTATAACCTTTCTGTGAAACCAAGGGAAAAAAAAGTATTTTGCCCCCACTACCCTGTCATCAAGCAGAACTAACTGACCTGAAGTCACTGCTGCAGCCTACAGCTCACGACTGACACATCTAACATCCTGTTAGCTATTTTTTACAGACTCAGGCAGGAGAGCGCTGAAATACTTTCCCGGTACAACTAAATTGTTTTAAAGAGGAATGCAGGTTAATATGCTTGCATGGCTTCAGCTCTACCACCTCCTATGATCTTTAAAGGAGTAAAGAAAACTTAGTCAAAAAGTGTTTATTTACAGTTCAAGTGCACATACGTTGTTCTGCTCCAATAACATTTCTGGAGAGAGATCCAGCAATAAAACTGACAGGTCAAAGCATTTCATACACTCAAACACATTAAGGAAAGTAACTTGAAACTTAGGAACAAATACAGTAGAAAGCACTAGACAGACTTCCTTTTTCCAGGACTTCCACTTCCCACCATGGCAGGCACGTTGATTTTCTTGTGAAACCCACCACGTTAGCCATGCCAAGAAGAGCTGCTGCCAACAGCACCTCCATAGAAAATGTGGAGGTACTTTCAGTACAGGTACAAATGCTTGCACAGGCAGCTTAACATAAGAAAATAGAGATTGTTCCTTCAGAACCTCAGCCTCAAGTTCTTTTAAAGTATCTTTTGCTTGGAACAAAAACCTGTATTGTCAAGTCACACACTCACACCCATCTGTTTGACATCTTCCAGCTGGCTGCTCGGATAGCAACAGCTCAGACAGTGAAAAGTTTTAGCATTTACGGGAATCCCAATCTAGTATCTAATACTCAAGCATAGTCAGTAAGCATTAGAGTGAACCATGCTAGTCACCAACAGTTCCAGAAGGCCAGACAGATAAAAATGTGGCTTAAAGCTCATCCATGAAAAGACTATTTTCCTACTGTCCCAATGAGCACAACTTTTACCAGAAAGTGCTTTTCCAGGGTGTTTTTGTGGGTAGTGGTGGTGTTTTGGGTGGCGGTTGTGGGTTTTTGGTTGGTTGGTTTTGTGGTTTGCTGGGTTTTGGGTTTTTTTTCCTTAGTTCAACATTCTTAAGAATAGCCACCAGCAGCTGTCTTGATTTTTAACTGCAACTGTAGAATTTCATCTTCAAATAAGGCTGTTAGTCAGAATCCACATCCTGGATCTCATCATACCCAAATTCATGTAGAACCTCCTCTCGGTATTTGTTCCATGTTCTTCTCCTGTAACATTGGTCCTCATCACTGAAGCTCTCTTCAAACTCTAAAGAAAGAGCATCAACACTTCTAAATTATCCCTTCTTTTTAGTTAAACAATGAGGTTAATCAGACTATTTTAAGCTTCTTGAGTAACTAACAAATACCAAGTCTGAACAACTTCTTTATTAGGTGAAGTCTGAATTATGCTTGGAGTGCATGGGGATGGGGAGTTAAGAAAGCAGAGGCAGTGTTTCATAAACACACTGGAACCAAGTCATCGATTCCTTTTCAAAACAAGCAATCCTTCGCAAGTGCAGCAGCCTAAAATGAAGGTCTTAATTCTGACTTTGCAGAAACACTACCATCATCTGTAGTTCAAAGAAAGATGATCCTTCTCCAAGCAGATTAACCCATTATAAGAGCAAACCACTACCCCAGCAGTGCTCAGTTAGTTGCTTTTTTAGAAGGATGGCATGTAAAAATGGATGGGATTTACATGTGAACAGCATGAAAGCAAACACTATTTATGGCAGGCGTACCCTTCTCTCCATCACCGTCTTCGTCGTATAAGAATTCATCTTCATCAGGATAATCATTACGCCAGTTATTTTCATCATTTTCATCATCTTCATCTTCATATATTTCCCCTGGAACTTGATCGTCGTCTACCTGCATGACGACACAAAGCATTCACTGCAAACACAGACACTACAGTAAGCCTTTTCTCATCCACCTGCACAGTGCTATACAGATCATGAGGAGCCAAGAGATACTTATCTTCTCCAAGCACAAGTTACTCAACAGTGGCACAAAGCACACTGTAGAAAGATTTGTGTTCTCTTTATATTCACCTTGGCACAGCAATCTGCTCTAGGTGAAAAAGCAGTTAAGTCATGCATTTAGATGCCAAGGATAACATCTAAATTAATCCTACTCCCTTCAGCAGTGGTGTAATAGATCAAGGGAAAGAAAAAGCAGCTTCAGGTCCCTGATAAGTCAGTCTATTGATCACAGTATCTATACAATGAAAGACTAACGCTTACATTTAACTCCAGTCACTGAAGGACAATTCTATTACAAGAAAACACCTCGTATTAAGATTGAAAATACTGAGAAAGTTGGATCTCCCCCCTTGCTGTGTTCACCCAACCATACTTAACAACTACATTTTAATGGCTGCCTCCTAGTCACAAATGAGATGTGAATTACTTAAGTTTACAAGTGTGTGCCAAAATTTATTTGGCAAATTGAAGCCAGACAAGTTCTTCTGAGTAGATGAGCACCAGCCCATCATTTTTTGTTGTCATTACCGTAATTTGCTTGAATCAACAGTAACCTGGAAGAGCAGAGACTGGCAGCTACAAAACATCTAAAAAAAGTCACTAAGCATACATGTAGTATCTCAAAGGATCTTTCTTGTCGTAGTGGCTTTTAACGATAGGACTTTAAGCACATTTATTTGTGACTTTTCTATATAAGAAAGATCTGTTTTCCCACATCCTTACCATAAGCTCATATTCTTCGCTGTAGGGCTGTACAGAAAGGATATTTTGGATCCAACCAGGGGCTGATGTTTCCATACAGTAGATGTCATAAACATACTCATCTTCTTTCTCACGGTGTTCTTTTTTACCATCTTCAGAAACATTTAAACGCTCACGGATCATCTCCACTGCATTGCAAAGAATCACATCTGGATCAGGCTTCTGCTGAGAAAAAATAAAAAGTGCATTATTTCCACTGAAGCCATGCACACAAAAGTCTTAGTTACCAACACCTGTCTCTCTACACAGTAGCCAGCAGCTAGCTAAGGATGAATTTCTGAAATCTGACTGAAACACTTCCTCACTGGAATGCTGGTACTTTTATCATTAGCAACCCAGAACACAAAGACACCGAAGAGCCTTCCAACTAACTCCATACAGCCAGCCGTACCTTGTTTCAGATAATGGGAGAAAACTTCCTGGGACAAGTTCATTAGAGACTACTGGAGGGGATATGACCAATCCCATAGAACTGTTCATGTTTCTGATGACACGCTGGTTGAAAATACAAGTTTTAAGACAGCCTGTGCTTTGTAGAGCAATAAACTTACAATGCTGCAGGGAAGATGTGCATTCAGTAGCACTGATAACATGCAAGCAGATTACAGTATACAAACTCTGCAGGAGAAACAATGCAAATGTGGCACATCAACAGGAAAAGACTGACAGGCCTTTTCATTTCCTCACTTCAACATTAACACCAAGAAGCTTCTTCATACTTTCTCCTTCCTAATAATTTATTTGCAATGTATTTGCTTTAGTGACCTGTACTTGAAGGTCTACACAGGCAGGTTTTTTGCTGCCCATTTTTCTTTGCTAGAGGCTTTCAGACTATCCTGTCCAATCCACAGTGGTGTCTCCTGAGCTACCTGAAGTAATTCTGAGGAACAGCTACAGACCAGCCTTTCACTCACTTCCAACTACTTTGAAAAAGAAAGCTTACATCTTGCTGTAACACTTACTGCTAGCTCCAAAAGAGGAAAATTCTGATGCCACCTCAGCTTCACTTCAGTTTTTCTACTCAGCAGTGATAGATCACAGTTAACTAACAGACTTCAAATGTCTGTGTGAGCTACCTGATTAACTGAAAGCAAGAATTCATACTAAAGTTTGACGGCAAAGCCCTTAAATAAAAAACGCTGAAGGATGACAGCTGGTTGGGCTCTTCCTCACCCGCGTATCTTCTCTAATGTTAAACATTTACGTTTTCCTCAGAGTTGTGATGGGCTGCACAAGCGAAGCATCCACATGTACCTACATACAGTGAAGGAACTACTAAAGAAAGCATACACAGCCCTCTTACCTTCTTTTTTATATAGTTATGAGTCTGTCTTAATACAAAATCTTCATAACACTCTGTGCAGCGCAACCCTACACAGAAAGCAAGGCTTCTTCATACTTAAAACCGTTCTAGATACTGAGCAGATACTCCTCCAACTGAAAACATGAACTTACAATAGCAATGAACACAGGATGTAGGGGCTCAAGCAGCCTGTCACACACCTAGAGTTCTGCTAAAAACAACATACACAATCAAACCGTATATTGGAATTACGGGAAGGCTCAAAAGTATCTTTTCCTTTAGTGAATCTTCCCAACATGTGACATTCCTAGGAATCTGGGTGGATGAGAAGACACTGAATGAGATTTTTCCTAGGTAGAGAAGTTGGTAATCAAAAACCTCAGAAATCCACCTGTCAGATGAATGTGAGAATTTATACATCAGAACAGGGTACAGAAAAATCAGGGAGGTACAAGCCCTTCCTGGAGCAGCCAACTCAACGCTGTTAACTATATGAACATTACTATACTTCACAATCTTCATGAAAGTTACTTCCTGTGCAATGAATTAACTGTTCCAACTTGCAAATACCCAGTTAAAGCTCCCAGTAAACAGTGTAATACTTACAATACAAAAGAACTTCTACAGCAGTCAAGTTTGCCCACATGTTCCAGTCTACAGTGATATCAAAGTACTTCAAGCACACTAAGTTCGTTTGCTGACCTGAGGGTTTGCAGCAGTTACACTGGAGTCTCCCAGCACCTCCTCTTCTTGTACAATATCAAACAACTGGAATTTCCTACAGCAGTCCAAACTCTTATCCACTGCACCACTCTCCTTTTGTGAAGCATCATCCATTGCTTCAGAGTCTGCTCTGTCCCCATCAATCGATGCCTCTCCATTTCTGACAGGTGCAGCTGTTTCGGTACAGTTAGGTCGATGGCTGGCTATTACACGATAACGATTTTCCTTCCTTTTCACTTGCGTGGAAGAGCGGAGTTCCTGAATGATTCGCTGAGTGCTTCCTAAAGAAGGTCGCAGACTTCGAGCTGCTTTGTCTCGAGTGATCACTTCTTGAACATATTTCTGAACTGGTTCATTCTGGATAGAGGAACAAAAAGGAGGAATATGATGATACTGTCAACACAGTAACTCATACTCCTTCCTAAAAGTGATTAATAACTACCATTACTGATGCTTCCTATTAGAGGACTGCAGTACCAACGTTCCTAACAACATTTAAGTAATTTCTGCTACAGCTTTAAGCAACACAACTATCCTAATAGTCTCTTGATATGGAGAAAGAAGATATTTGTAAGACTGTTTCAATTTGATTTTGAAATATAGTTCAGGGTACAGAATAACCCTCCAAACAAAAACACATGCCTTTGGAACACTGATGGTCCTAAATTTAAGGCATAATATCCTTTACAGTATCCTATAAATACCAGTTACCAAGAAACATCAGTTTTATTCAATATAAAAGGCTGTAGAGCAGATGGAAGTTGTTAGCCTTGTAGGGTTGATCTTCAGTACCTCAAACAGCAGAAATTTAGGCTTCACTTACAAACTATAGAAAACAGTCTATACGTTTAAAAAAGGCGGTGCTGAGCCCAGCACTCCATGGTGGTCACTCTGTGCTCTGCTCCCTAATTAAGAGCCTGCCGCGCATGCAGTATGCTGCTGCGCCGCCAGCCAGACGGCCGCCATGCCTTCACCAGGACAGGACGGCATCTCGCATCGAGACGCCACTCTCCAGGCTACGAGCAAGAACTTCGCAGCGAGATAGGATCCTGCAGCTGCACTGTAAACCTGGAGCAAGCCTGCTGCTTTCCAAAGCCCCTTCGGAAGCTGAGCGAGCTGCACCAGGTGAATCAAGCGGGCCCCCCCTCGCCTCAGGCGCGGCCCCGGCCTACAATCGGCAGGGCCGCGGTACCTTGGAGGACACGGTCGCCACCAGCTTGAAGAGGCTCCTCTCCACCGGCTGGGCGTCGCCGCACTCCGTGCGGAGCCGCTTGCAGGCGAGGAGCAGCGCCTCGACAGGCTCCGTCCCGCCGCGCTTCCGCTTCACTCGCAACACGGCCGCCCGCTCCATGGCGCTCGCGGGGCATGACGGGAA